GAGCTGAACAACTTGACCGCCAGGTGAGGTTACGCGTGGCGTCTAGAATCGTTTCGAATGCTTGCAACACTTTCACGGATGGAAGGCGCGCCGCTTTCAAAATGTGGCCCGCGCCTGGGCGCCGCGCGCATTTGTCTTAGGATTCTCGTGGTTGGCGTCCGAGAAACGGTGTTTCGGCAAGGTGTGGGACTGCCAGGGCGCAACAAATAAGCTGCGTTGATTCGCGGTGGAATTCCAGGAATGGTGTTCTAGCACGATTCAGGATCATCCGGACGCCACCAGTCAGGTTGATCCGTGGCGATGGAGTCTCAGGAATGGTGTTCTGGCACGGTTCCGGATTGTCAGACGATTGTCTTCCAACGGGGCACTTCCCGCAGTGAGAAAGAATCCTTGTATGGGATCTTTGAGGAGGGAACGTGGAGGGAGGGCTTCACAGATGGAGGGCGGGTGGTTTTCAAAATATGGCTCTCGCGCGCATTCGTTTCAGACATTTGATTTAAAGATTTGCAGGAATTTCACGGATTGAGGGCGGATGGTTTTCAACATGTGGCTCTCGCCTTCGCGCCGCGCACATTCGTTTTAAATGATACCGTAGAAAAACCCAATCAGATTTGTTTAATATTCCAATTGCTCCCTTATAGGGCTAAGGGCTGTCGGGCTATAGGGCTATAGGGCTATCGGGCTATAGGGCCATAGGACTATCGGGCTACAGGGCTATAGGGCTGTAGGACTGTGACCTATAGGGCTATAGGGCTATAGGGCTATGGGAGTATAGAGCTATATGGGCTATGGGGCTATAGGACTATAGGGATATAAGGCTATTAGGGCTATAGGGATATAAGGCTATAGGGCTACAGGGCTATAGGGCTATACGGCTATAGGGCTATAGGGCTATAGGGCTACTGGGCTATTGGGCACTCCCGGGCACGCCCGGGCACCCGGGCCTGGCCACCGAAATCGGCCACGCACCTCGCCGGCCACCCGGGCACCCGGGCACCGCCGGGCACCGCCGGGCACCCGGGCACCCGGGCCCAGCCACCGAAATCGGCGACAAACCTCACCTAACCCTTTAATCCGCTAGGACACCTACGGAGGCAAGCTCTGATTGGGGAACATTGCAAGACTTTCATGTCTTGAGGGCGAGTGGTTTTCAAAATGTGGCTCTCGCCTTGGCGCCGCGCGCATACATGAAACAAGACTTGCAAGAGTTTCACAGATCGAAGGCGGTTCGTTTTCAAGCATGTGGTTCTCGCCGTAGCGCCGCGCACATTCCTTTTTCACATTGCAACCGTTTCGCGGGTTCACATAGGGGTGCAGCAGTTACGTTGATTCGCGGTGTTGAAGTCCCAAGAATTGCGTTCTGGCGCGATTCAGGACCGTCGAAACGCAGAGTCGGGTTGATCCGTGGCGTCGGAGTCCCGAGAATAATATCTTGGCATGCTTCAGGGTCTTCAAACGGTTGTTTTCCAATGAGGCAGTTCCCTCCGTGGGAATGAACTGTTGTAGGGGCCTATGAAGAGGGAGCCTGGAGGGAGAGTTTATTCCAACATCGTTGATGAGTCTTGGGTTTGCACTGGTCCTCCTCCTCCTCCTCCTCCTCCTCCTCCTCCTCCTCCTCCTCCTCCTCCTCCTTTTCTTTTTCAAAAGTACACAGCTCCATCTCTGATGGAGCATAACACGACGGTGTCCCTTTGGGGGGTCCAGGCCCATTACGGCACCCGTAGGCGGATAGAGCAAAACCAACACAATGGGAAGGGATGGGTGGAAAGGGTCGGATGTCAGATATGCCGCGAGCGCGCTGCCCCCCCTCTTGTCTCTCCGCGGGCGTGCCCGACCCCCTGTTGCCCTTCCTCCTCCAACGTCATCCCACCTCGCTCTGCCCCTCTTCCTAACGTCCAACCGCTGCTGGTTACTGATGCACGGCCCCGCCTCCATTCGAGTGGCCGCCGACCTGATCCCGTGCACACACAACTCCACATCATCCTTGTCAACAAAAAAGAAAGCAACATGCACATGGCTGGGGAAAACACTAGCTCCAGGCCGTGTCCGGGCACCCCCCCATCATCTCGTATCAGATTTAATTCGGGGTGGTGGGTGGTGAGCACGTTTTCCGTTGCGCGCTGGCTCACCACCCCTTCCGACAGCCAATTCAAAAAGATTGCGGGTGCGCGCGCTGAGTGCCATGTTGCCCACCCCGCCGCCGTCACTGTGCACTTACTTTTGAAAGCAGCGAGCGCGCGCCGTGCACCCGGCGCGCACCTCTCGCACATGGTGCACTAGGCGCGCCCCTGTCGCACTTTGGCACATCAGGCGCAGGAGAGGCGCACGGTTCAGCTGGCACGCGGGGCTCACCTCGCGAGCGAGTGTCCGCGGGCCCCAAGAATATACACCACCACCACCACCTCCATTCCCCATCCTTCCTCCGTCCTCCTCGTCCTCTCCTCCTTCCTCGGAGACGAGATGGAGGGTGTAAGGGAGGTGAGGGAGGGGGTGAAGAGGAGAAGGATGGGGTCGGAAGATCGCGCAGCATTGCCGGTGCATCGGCGATGTGGCTCGACGTGGAACCCGATATATGTTTCGTCGACGTCGACGTTGCATCGCCGACGTCGATGGCGCATCGCAGGTGCATCGCCGATGCGTCGCCGGTGCATCGCCGATGCATTTCCGATACATCACCGATGTATCGGCGATGCCGCGCGATCCTCCGACCCCATCTACTCCGACCCCATCAAGGATTAGGTCGGGCATGTCCTCCTGCAGGCGGATTTGGGGCACAAGCTGAAAAATAGTCAAAACAAATTCAGACATGGCCAGACAATGTTTTGACCAGTCTTGAATTTTCCTCTTGTAGAAGGACGTGCCCGGCTTAAGTTTACTATTATCGCCGGACTTTCGTACACTTTCCGGAAACGTGAGAAAAATAGCCTGGCGAAAGAGCCAACCATACGCAGTTGTGAATACCGCAATTGTGAATACCATCTTCGCCCACGCTCCCTGTGGCCACGGCTTCCCGCCGGAGCCCGACATGATCAGGGACACGTTTGCGGCCGTCTTCGCGGGAGCCGGCGACGACGAGGACGGCGCCCCCCTGACCGAGGAGCAGAAGCAGGAGAGGGCTCTGAGAGCTGCCACTGGCGCCTTCGGTGGAGCTCCTATAGGGCGATCCTCGTGAAGGGTGTGCGAAATGGACCGAGGCCGCTATGCGAACCCTGCCGCTGGGGCCTTCGGTGGAACTCCCTATGGGGCCACGATCCTCGTGATGGGGTGTGCCGAAATGGCCCGAGGCCGCCATGCGAACCCTGCCACTGGCGCCTTCGGTGGAACTCCTATGGGGCCACGATCTTCGCCAGGGGTGTGCCCGAGGCCGCCATGCGAACCTTGCCACTGGCGCCTTCGGTCGAGCTCCCTATGGGGGCCACGATCTTCGTCAGGGGTTTGCCGATATGGCCCGAGGCCGCCATGCGAACCCTGCGAATGGCGCCTTCGGTGGACCTCGGCCACGATCCTCGTGAGGGGGGTGCCAAAATGGGGCGGGGCCGCCATGCGAGATCCGCCATTGGGACCTTAGGTGGAACTCCCTATGGGGCCTTGAAACGTGTGAGGGGTGTGCCAAAATGGGGCGGGGCCGCCATGCGAGTTCCGCCACTGGGACCTTATGTGGAGCTCCCTATGGGGCCACGAAACGTGGGAGGGGTGTGCCAAAATGGGGCGGGGCCGCCATGCGAGATCCGCCATTGGGACCTTAGGTGGAGCTCCCTATGGGGCCACGAAACGTGGGAGGGGTGTGCCGACAGAGAGACATGCGAAGGGCAGAGGCAAGGAGGGGGAGTAGAGGAGGCAGCGGGAGGAGAGTAGAGGAGGCAGCGGGAGGAGAAGGAAGGAGGACGCGGGCGCTGTCTCTTCAAAACGAGGGGCCAGCAGCACAGGATGGTTGGGAACAATCGTTTTGCGTGAATGTATCGCGTGGCGCCGCCTGGCCGCATGGCGCCGCCTGGCCGGAAACTGGCCCAATCTGCTGGGACATCGCTTCGTTTCTGACGTTTGTCAAACGTTCGTTTGATTCGCCCTCATCGTCCAGCCCCCCATCTGTCGGGGATCTTCTGACCTGGGTCAATCCAGACCCGTGTCAATCAGGCCTTGCAGAATCCTGCAAGATCCTGCAAGATCCTGCGCCCAAGCCCAGGTCAATGCGAAGGATCCTGCAAGATCCTGCAAGATCCTGCGCCCAAGCCCGGGTCAATGCGACCCTGGCCCCGCAGGATCCTGCAAGATCGGGCGCTCTGGCTGACCCCCGTTTGCATTGACCCCCCTCTCAAGGCTCCCGACCCCCATCTGAACCAAAAGAAAGCCAGATTCTGCTGAGAGACGTCCTCACGATTCGCTCTCACACTGGCCGCAGCATGCAGGTGACGCTGGCGGTGTGCGGCCCGCGCCGGGGCGAGAGCGCCGCTGGGACGGGACTCTTGCGGCCACTGTGCGGAAGTTCGGCCCACAGGGTAGGAGGCCTCGAGGAACGCCGGGGGCCTGGGTCCCCCGACCCCATCTAGGATCAGGTCGGGCATGCCTGAACGCGGATTTGGGAGGACAAACGACAGATCATCTAAAAGTATGCAGACATATGGCCCAGACTTAGAATAATATCAATAATACGAACGCGAATGGCAATAGTAATATTCTTGATGCTATAGTAATACGAATAATACTAAGATTAAGCATTACTAAGACTATTACGAATGCTCATAATAAGAAAAGTACTACAACACATACGGTTAATGATGAAGATACTAAAACTCATACTAGTCATGCTAATCATAATAGCCGTAGTAATGATAACAACTACCCAAAATAACAAAAACACATCGTCCCCATACTATTCATGCCCGGCTTACTTACTGTACATATTCCTCCTGTAGAAGGATCTGCCCGACTTACTTCTGGGAGGCCTCGAGGATCGTTTGGGGCCTGGGCCCCCTGGAGAGGCCCTCCCCGCAGCACCTCGCCTCGGCCGCGGCGGCGCCCGGCGCGGCGCCGTGCCCGAAAGCGCTGCTCGCGTCTTCGCCGGCGACCGGCTCGCCGAGCGCGGGGAAACCCGCCGCGTGCTCCTCGAGGGAGAGGCGCCGCCGAGGCAGCCAGAGGAGGCACTCGCGATCCCATGGACGTGATCGCGCCGTAACAAACAACAGGGCGGGAGGCTTTCTGGCCATTTTCGGCCTCGGGGAGCCCTCGCCGGGCCCTGGGACCATGCAACAACCACGCAGGGTGAAAAACCGGTCCCAGCGGTCGGGACTTCCGGGGACGCCGCACTGAAAAAATCAGGACGTCGCATGTTTGGGATTCGATGGCTACCTACCAGACAATCCCAACCCAATACAAAAACCCGAATCTCGGGTCGGGGGGGAATTACAGGCTTCATATGTGTTTTTTGTTCAGTGTTCCCAGGCCCCACCCCTACTGGAGGTGGAAAAAGGAGGGCAAATCGCGGCCGGCTCGCCACGATTTGCCCCCGAGTCGGGATCCACCAAAAGGGGGGTGACCCTGAGGGGGGGCATGAGTTCGTTCCGCTGGTGCACCGAGCTGCCGCAAGCAGATGCCCCCCGCGTGCCCCACCTGACCGCAACTCTCGGGAGCTGCCCGCGGCTTGTGGGCATCTGCTTTGGGCGATTCGGTGCAAAAACCAATCGAATTCCCGCCCCTGGGGCACACACACACACACACACCTTTTGCAGGATCCCGACCGAGGCAGCCACAGGTGGCATTCTAAGACGAAGCGAAGCCGAGGATCAAATTTAGTGAGAACAAATCGAGAATCTCTGAGATCTGGCTGATCTGGAGAAGGTCTCGGGCGCCGCGGCCTTCCTCAGAGCATTCCGGAACGCTCTGAGAGCGTTCCGCAACGCCCTGGAGCGGATCCATCCTTGTCCTAGCCCCGTCCGGCATTCCCGTGAATGAGTACGGCAGGTTCGTGTCTTGCCGACTTCGGCGTGGGTTTCTGACTCCGCGGGAATCGTTAGACCTTGTACGATCGGCCGTTTCCGAAACGTCAGATCGCTCAACATCGACCGATTCTGAGTCGCTGGCGGCGTTCAACATTGAACGCCGGCGGCGGGGCCGCCGCCAGTCGACACGACGCGAACCAACCGTAAGATGGTGGGGAGAGAGGTGTACAGGCGGTCGGGACGGGCAAGCGATCGCAACTGTCTCACAACCCCGTGCCAACTCGTGCACGGGTGGGCGGATCCTGTCGGTTCCACATCCCCCAATCCGCGGATACCGTGATGGAGCAGAGCAGCTGGCGGAGGAGTGTCAAAACGAACAGTGACGTTTATCCGATGGGGCCCCTCGGCAACGGCACAACATCTGGAGGCCGCTCACATGGGGCCGAAGTATATGGGTCGGGAGGATAGCGCCGCATCGCCGACGCATCGCCGATGCATCGGCGATGCGTCGACGCTGAATCGGCGATGCATCCGGCGACGCATCGGCGACGTCGCGCAATAGCAGCAAAGGTGGAGAGGCGGGTCGGGGAGTACGAGGTCGGCTAGTGCAAACGTTTTTTTACGACGAACCCTCAGACCAGACATCGCACGAGAGGTAACTGCAGAACGCGGCTCGGCACGCTGAACATATTGCGCCAAACACAATGGCCTGACCTGATGGCTTCAACAGCCGTGGACCGTAGCTTTCTCTGGAACTGTTTCTTAGAGGGGCAGTCAACAACATGCTGGGGAAGATGACTGAAAACGCGCACCAAACCAACAAAGAAATCTGCACATCATGGGATGCATGCCTGGCTCGACTGTATCGTGGATCGCCCTGTTGTGCATGCATCTTCCTCCGCCAAAGCCGTGGCTCTCGCGGCTGCAGGCCATTTGTGGGAAAAGGGCGCCGCACACGAGAGGGGCCTTGCCGTGTGCAACTCTGCGCAACACGCTCAAAAAGACAAGTCACACCTCGTCCATGCTGGGGCGAGGTTGTAATCACTCGAGGCCCAGTCTTCGGAAACCTCAAGCGACTGCAAACACTCTGCCTGCAGGCAATCTGAGAGAGCCAGTGCTACATCTATTGCATGAAGTATTGCCGGGGGCGGCGCCTTCTACGAAAGAGACAACGTGAGCAGTCAGGAAAGCTCTGCTGTGCTGAAGAATATGCTTGACTGGAGAAGCGAATGAAGCCGCCAAGATGCTTCGCGACCGAACTCCTGAACTGCGAGGAGCACGGTCAGCTCGGAATCGAGAAGCCGTGCTGGAGGATCTGCAGACGTGCCGAGACAGGGGTGAGAGCACGGCCATGTGCACCTCAGCATGTTTTACCACGGATCGTGCCCGGCCGGACCAGCAATGCCGTCGGCATGGGGGTGAGAGCACGACTTCGGCTTCGGAGTACATTGTGAGGACGTCTCGGGGGCGAAGCGGCTGCAGGGCTGGGCGTGTCCAGGGCTCTCCCCGTCCCTCCCCTGTGGGCCACTTCTGCTGCCCTCCTTCTTCCCTGTCTTAAGAACCCTCTAGCGAAGCGCTGGGAGGAGGAGGAGGAGGAGGAGGAGGAGGAGGAGGAGGAGGAGGAGGAGGAAAAGGAGGAAAAGGAGGAGGAGGAAGAGGAGGGGAAATTCCGGATCCACGTCGAGCCGCATCGCCGAAGCGTCGGCGCTGCGGCGCGATCCCGTGCGGGCGGCCCCGAGCAACGGCGGGTGGCCACGAGGAGGGCGGACAGGCTCGGGGGGGGGGGAGACGTCGACCCCGTGCCGTCGCTCGGACGTCCAGGTCCCCCCTTTCACTCGTTCGGCCTCGCGCGTGCTTTCCTCGCAGCACGGTCCAGGATTCAGTCGGGCGTGCCCCCCTCTACAGGAGGGAAAAACAAACATAGTTTTTGTTGGTAATGGTCTGGGGAAGATGGTTTGCATGTGTTTGAACCAGTATTGGTGACCTTTTGGGGCAACTGTTCATGGCCCGTCGAAAACCCCCCTGCAGGAGGACATGTCCGACCCCAAGCCCAGGGTGCCCCTCGATGGTCCCTGCCGATAAAGATCAGGGGGGCGTAAGACCCGGGTACAGGGGACTCGGAAATCCCCGACGAGGTCGTCAAACAAATGACGAGGCCGAGCCTGCATTTTGACGAGGCCTCCCGCTGCAGACATCCCACGAAACTCCTCCTCGTCAAAATCCGAGGCGCGGTCGTCAAAAAACGATGGCGAACCCGAGTCCTGGCAAACCCGGGTCTTACGCCCTGCCGAGAAAGAGGCCGCCTGTCCGAGCGATGCCAAGGACCTGGACTCGGCGATGCGTCGCCGGCAGGCCGGCGACGACGGGCGCCCCGGAGAAGCAGAGCCGCGCGGCCCGGGGCGCCTGGGCGGGCTGTCGGGCCCCGATCGGCGCGCAGTGGGCGATTGTCGGGTCGGGCAAAAGGGGGGGATAGCAAAGGGGGGGGTTGAGAATCAGCTCACGTAGCTGATTTAGAAATCAGCTAAGGGGGGGTTTGAGAATCAGCTCAGAAAAAGGGGGGGATAGCAAAGGGGGGGGGTTCCCGGCGCCTCCCGGCGCCGGAGGCGGCTATGTATCGAGGAATGGGCCCCTCGGTGAGGCCGAAACCAGCTGCATGCGGCAAATTCCGTAACCCCCCCCTTCCCAATCCCCCCCTTTCGCCCGGCCCGAGATTGGGGTTCCATTCAAGTCGGGCATGTCCCTCTACAGGAGGAACGTTCAGAAATACGCCCAAACTCGTCAGGCGACGTTTTTTTTTACTGCTGTTGACTATGTTTGATTCTGTGTATGACTCTTGCTCCTTTGTCCTCCAAAATCCGCCTGTAGGGGGTCATGCCCGACCTAAGGTTCGATGCGTCTCCCCCCCCTACCCGACCCCAAGGCCCGAATTTCGGGTTGGGGGGGGGGGAAACGGGCCTCCCGCGCGTTCTCCCCCGGTGCTCCCCGACCCTCCCCCCCACTAATGACAATGAATGGAAGGCAACTTGGGGCCTTCGGGTTGCGTTGGGGTGGTTTGGTGGGTGGTGAATTTTCCCCTGACGCTGCCCTGGGCGGAAACGGCGACGGGGGCGCGCGCCCTCCGAGCCCCCCCCCCCCCCCCTCCCGAGGGAGCTCCGTGAGCGCGCTCCACGCCCCTCCGAGGGCGTGCTCGGCGCGCGAGACCGGCCGCAGGAGCCGCTGCCTGGCGGGGGGGGGGGGGGCGAGGGGCGCGGGGCGCTGCTCCTTGGGGGGGGGGGGCGGCGACAGCGTGCGAAGCGGCGTGCGCCGTTCGTGCCCCTCCGGGGGGCCCCTTCAGGGCAGCAGCTGCCAAACTCGGCCTGGAAGCCTTCGGCCAGGCAGCTCTCGGTTGCACGGCTTCCCCCGGGGCCGTAGGCGACAAGAGGCGGAGGAGGAGGAGGAGGAGGAGGAGGAGGAGGAGGAGGAGCAGCTGAACACGGCCGCGTCTTTCCCTCGCGCACTGTAGGGCCCTCGTAAAGTGTAAGGAAGGTGCACCTTTCTTCACTCCCCCACTTACGCTTGGGAGGATTTGCCTCGCGTGTCGCGGCAGAGGCCCTCGCGACACGCTATGCCTGGCGAGCGGAGTTGCTCCGCTCCGAGAGGCGGGAAGCTCGGAAAAGCTCGGGACGTTGACGCCTGGGGACCGCGAAGTTGTTAGCGTGTCGCGCCGCAGCGCGGTGGGCCAGAACTGGCGGAGTGACACGCCATCCCAGAGTTCCCGACCGTAAGCGGGGGCGCCGGTGAGCGAGCGGTGGGGAGACAGGAGGGGGCAACCGCGGAGGGATGGGGAATGAGGGTTACGGAGAGCGCGCCCGAGCCGAACGTTTTTACGCCGCAGCGCGGCAGAGGCAGTCCACACGCGCGCTTGGGCAAGCCGGGAGACGGCACGCGCGGATAGTCCGGCGGCAGGAAAGGAAGATACAGTGGAGGCCAGTCCACAAGAAACCTTCTACAAGAAACCCAACCCTGAGACCCCAGGACGTCCATCGGTTTTTGGTGTGGGAACGTCACGCTTCCCATGGCAAAAACATCGAAACCATCGAAACCCAAGAAACCCTGGATGCAAGCTGGGTGTTTCTTGGCATGGGCCCCCACTGTGAGGGTGAAGAGGAGGCCGTGGGGCGGGGGGGACGGGGGGGGGGAGCGCAACGTCCGAGCCGGACACGCCGCGGGAAGAAGGGAAAAGCCCAAAAGTGCCGCGCAGCGGCCTGCCAAGAAACTGGGCGCTTGTCCCAGGCCAGAAGCAAACGACACGGCCGTAGCACCTACCACACAGTCCGGCTTGGGCTTTTGCGCGGTATGCGCCTATACGGTCCCCCATGAGCCGTGGCGCACAATGGAGGGCCGTGTGTTGGATAGCGTCGTTTGTTCTTTGGTCGATCCCCCCCCTTCTCCTCGTCCCCCCCTTCCCCCTTGCCCTCCCCCCCCCCCTCGTTGTAAAGCCACGTCACATGAGGAGGGTGAGCAGCTTCCCAATACCCGTCCTTGCATCCTTGCCCCTTCGGCCCCTCCTAGGCGACTTTCTTCGCTGACCAGCCCCGCCCGAAACCGCCACCATGCCAGAAGCGGGGGCCAGGGGTGATGGACCTGTATTCCACCACCACCACCACCACCATACGTTGCAGAGGGAAAGGACGTGGAGGACGAGGAGGACGAGGAGGAGGAGGAGATCCCCTCCTCCTCCAACTGATGGTGGAAAACATGCCCATCAAGGGGAAATCCGCGCCATTTACGTATGAACCAGGAGTGCAGTCCTCAGTGGGCCCCAAAGATGCGGCAGGGCCGCTTTTTCACCGTTTCTGGCAGAGTCTCTCTTGAGAATGGAAACGGCAACACAAAATCGGCGACTGGAAACGGCAAAAGCACGGCTCCAGGATTGGAGCCGGAGCCGGAGCCAGTAAACACACGGCGACGTAACCGGTAAGAAGAACGGCGTCGGAGCTGGCAACGAAACGGCAAAATGGGACTGGCAAGAGAGCGGCGTTGTCGTTTCGAGGGCCCGCAAAGGCGCAGACGAGGAAGGACCTTGCGAGCAGTGCGGCGGCTTCAGGCTCCAGCGCCATCGAGACACGCGTGGCGACGAAGACGGAACCCCCTGCGCCGAAGGCCACAGGCCTCTCTCTCGGAGATACTGCAGGAGCGGCGAGCGCTCCAAGGTGGAAAGGCCCAGCGCGAAGAGCATCAGAGCCTCCGCCCTTGGGTACGACGACGACGACGACGACGAGGACGAGGACGAGGACGAGGACGACGACGAGGACCACGACGACGAGGACGACGACGACGACGACTCAGGTACCCCTCAAAGGCTGACGCTGCTCGTAGCCCTCGCGCCAGCCGGTGCCGAGGGGTTGTCGCCCCCCCCCCTCGAGAGGACGGGCCCCCCGGAGCCCCCCTGGGACCCCTACAGGCGCCCAACAACTTCCTCAACCTCCGCGGCCCAGAACGCCCAGCCTCATCGATCATCGATGGGGAGGAGGAGGAGGAGGAGGAGGAGGAGGAGGAGGAGGAGGAGGAGGAGGAGGAGGAGGGGAGGAGGGATGCGACGGCCCTAGCAAGCCAACGCATGTCCACCGTAACAGAGGGAAGAGGAGGAGAGGAGGAAGAGGAGGAGGAGGAGGAGGAGGAGGAGGAGGAGGAGGGGGAGGAGGAGGAGGAGGAGGGGGAGGAGGGAGGAGAGGAGGAGAGGAGGAGGAGGAGGAGGAGGAGGAGGGAGGAGGAGGATGAGGAGAGGAGAGGAGGAGGAGGAGGAGGAGGAGGAGGAGGAGGAGGAGGAGAAGGAGGTGGAGCACGGAGTAGAGGAGATGGAGGAGGACGAGGAGCCAACTAGCTCGAATGTCCGCATTCCACAAGCGAGCTACGGCGGCGCGGGCAAGGGCGGCACGTCAGAAGAGGAGCTCGCCGATGTCGTCGCCGAATGCGAGATGGAGGAGAAGGAGGAGGAGGAGGAGGAGGAGGAGGAGGAGGAGGAGGTTGGATCGCCACAGCTTCGTTGCTAAAACCCGCTCAACCCAAAAGGATGACGAAGGAGCGGAGGAGTGAGAAGATGATCGAGGATTGAGGTTTGAACAGTCACGGGTACCACTGCGGGTTTTGCTGATGGGCGCAGAAGCCAGGGCTTCCGAGCCCAAGCAACGTGTTCGGGTCTGGGGCGGAAGGTGGACGGAAGAAGAGGGGCAAGGAATGCAATGCCGTCCACGGGGACAGCACATTCGAAAACACAACGAATCGACACCGACATCGACACCGACCGAAACCGACAGGACGCAAGCAGCCTGACACGGCGCAGCGACGCGGCAACGACACAACAGCCCAAGCGGCCCTCAAAATTGCCCGAGATGCCTCCAAGACGGTCCAAGTCCAAGGAGGCCCCAATACGGCCCAAGAGACCTCCAGCACGCCTCTTCAGGGAAGAAGAGCGCCCCAAGACGACCCAGAGAGGACCCCAAGATGGACTCCGAAGGCCGCAGGCTGCCCAAGAGCGCCCCAAGACGGCCCCAGGAGCGCCTAAGGAGCCCCAGAGACCCCAGAGAGCCCAGATCGCTCGAGGAGCCCCCAGAGCGCCAACGGAGGCCCCCAATAACCCCAGAACCCCCCAGGACGGCCTAAGAGGGCCCCAAGATTCGGCGGCGAGCGAGGGGGGAAGTGGGAAGGAGAAAGCCTTCTCAGAAGGCGGCGAAACTTCTCAGAAGGTCTCGCGCCTTCTGAGAAATTCTCGGTATCTTTGAGGAGGATTAGAACACTTCTCAAAAGGCCCGAGGACTTCCGAGCCTTCTGAGAAGGCCTTTTCCTTATCACTTCCCCTCCGGGCTCGCCGCCGAAAGATGGCACAAGAGGGCCCCAAGGCACCCGCAAGACTGCCCAAACGGGCCCAACGGCAGCCCCACGACGGCCCAAATAAGCCACGTGAGAGCTCCTCAAGAGGTGGAGAAGAGAGGTTTCACATGTGACGGCCTTCTGGGCGGTGGAGGAGAGGGAGGAGGAGGAGGAGGAGGAGGAGGAGGAGGAGGAGGAGGAGGAGAGAGGAGGAGGAGGAGGAGGAGGAGGTGGGGGAGGAGGAGGAGGAGAAGGAGGTGGAGGT